ATTTTCTGGCCTTCTCTGTTTTCCACAGGCAGTTCTTCCTACAAACACCCCTGGTCTGTCTATAGTTCTCTCCACTCTTCTTTGGAACATGACCCTCCTTGGCCTGGACATAGCCCCAACCCTGGACAAGTCTCCCCCACTTTGCCCTTACAGTCTGTATCAGTCAGATCATGGCCTTCCCCATTCGAAAAGCCTGCAGGGTTCTTATGGCACTTAGAGGAAAATCAGTGCTTGCACGATTATCAGTGTTTGCACTATAAGCCCTGGCATCTCCACCCCTCGATCTCATCTCCAAGTACCATTGCTTCCACTCCCTAAAGCCTCTGATTCACAAGAAAGCCATGCTTGCCCCCACCTGGGGTCTTTGCTTGCTGTCCTTTTCTCTTACCCTTTCATGTCATAGGTCAAATAACATTTTCTCACGAAACGCTCTTGCTTGACTGCCAGCCCTTGATCCCACCCACCTAAAGCACGCCACCACCACCATTGTCACTCTACTACAATCTCGTATGTTATTCATGATAGCATTTACTAAACACCATGATCTTGTTTTGTTTGTTGACTAATTCCCTGAACAGGATGTAAGTTCCAGGAGACTAAACATCTCTCATCTACCTTGTTCATTGCTTGATCCCACTGTTTAGGACTTAACACAGAATAAGCACTCGCTAATAAACTGTGAAATTAGTTCAGGGCCCCCAGTCCCTGCCACTCAGGACCCTGTCTCTGTACTTTAAACAGCTGCCCATTCCCCCTTCCCCTGTTCTGAGCTCTGCCCAATGCTGGGAGTCTCCAGCTGCTCTCAGCAGTCCCCTCCCAGGGCCTGGCTCTCCAGTTCCAGCTGCCTGCTAGGCCAGGCCTTGTGGGTTCTCACCTGGTACAAGAGAACTGAGGCACTGGTCAGGCTGGCCAGGATGAGGAGCAGGAGGCAGACAGCCTGGATTCGCGTGTTCAGTGACATTGTGTCGTCTGTATGGCTGTCTCGCTGTCAGGTCTAGGACGAGCTCTGGTGTTTGGGCCCAGTTACAGTTGCTTTTATGGGGCCTCCTGGGGAGGCGGGGGTGCTAAGCCCCCTCCCCTTTGTCCTAACTCATTTCCAAGAAGGTGGTGACGCCGAGGCGGGAGAGATAAGCGGGAACAGAGTGACAGGGAACAGGGTTGTGTCACCCTTAGCCAGCAGAGGTGTGGCCAGGGGGTGGGGCAGACAGGGCGACAGACACATGCCTCTAGCCAGCCACCTGGGAAACACTTTCCCTGACATGACATCACCTTGTTGATCTCAGAAAAAAATTCCCCTTTTCCCCCAGAGGTTGAATAGGTCGATGAGCAGGAGCAAGATGCCCTCATTCCCTACCCTTCGCTGAAGTCCTCATTCACATGGGGGATGGCTGTCACTTGCTGGGCCCCTCGGGGGTGCCCATCACAACTCCCACAGCTTCGGTTTCTCTTCTGTAGGGAACATTGCGACAACCAGATGTGGGAGTTCGATTTAGCACGACTGCCCCCAGCATGCATGTGGTCTTTTCCAAATGTCAGAACCTTAAGACGTGGCTCTGGTGTCTGGAAAACGTTTCTGTGAACCTTTGATCATGAAAGATAACTGTAGCAATAGTAGTTAACATGGGATGACTGCACCTCATACACAGCAGATGTTTGTCGACTCACTTTTGTGTTAACTCTGCTGGTGCTACCTGTCTTCCAAGCAGTGCCTGCTTGTCCCATTCCGGGCTCTGCTCTGTACTCAGGAGCCTGGGCTGCCTTCTCAGGCCCGAACCCCAGGGACCTGGCTTCTCAGCTGCTGCTCCCTCTCAGAGGAGCCCAGCATGCCCACCTTAGTCTTTGTTTTCCTCACTTTACAGGACACGAACTGGAGGCAGAGATTGGGACACTTCCGAAGCCAGAGGCCGAAATGGCATTCCAACCTGGCGGCCTGGCCTTGGAGCCTGTGCTCTTATCAGCACGCTTTCCTGTCTCCCCAAATGCAGGAGCAGAGTGGGCTGTGGACCTGGCTCATGCTGGCTCAATGGAGCCACTGTGCACATCTCACCCCAACTCTACATTCAGTGGCACTGTGTTGGCCACACTCACTGACACCAGCAGTGGGGCATACACACCACAGACATCAGCCAACACTACAAACCAGGGCTTTTTTCGCAGAGCTGGTCCCCTAGCGCACCACTGAAAGGGGAGATGAACCGAGGCTGCCCGAGTGTCCTAACTACTACCTGAACCACGGGTAGTGGGTGCACATGGCCTGGGGGACCCACAAACTTGATTCCAGAGGTGGTGCTTTGGACGTTTTGCCTGATGCTAGAGCCATCCAATGTCGACCCTTCCACTGGAGCCTGGGGATGCTGCCACCAAGGAATGAACACTTCTTCCTGGCCCTGTTGCCAAGACCCACTCAAAACCACAAAATTGGGGACCCTAGGAAGTGAAAGCTGCCTTGTGCCATCTGCCTCCCATTCACTCCATGTTAGGCTCCTCCTGCTGCATACACTCTCACTAAAAGATGGCCTCGGAGGAATGGCCAGAGAGAGGAGACAGGGCTCCCTAACGGAAGAAACTAGTTGGGGACATTTGGAGCACACACAAGGTAGAGAACTCAGCAAGGCAGTGACTGGCGGGCCTAGATCCTGGGATTGGATGGAGTTGCATGGGGGCTGCAGACTGAGGCAAGGACCAGTTAAAGGCTGATGCATGCTCAGCCACAGGAAGACACAAGCAGCATCCCCCAGCACTGCCAGGCATCACTGCATCTCCACTCAGGCCAGGTTTCATCATCAGCCAGGGGCAGGGGTCACAGCAACGGCGCCAGAGCCACAGTACAAGGCGACAGGCTGACGGGCCAAGCCTGGCTTCCTGGCCATCTGCCTTCCTTGGGGGTGGGGGGCTCAAGGCCAGGCCCCATCATTGGCTGGTGCAGAGGGGAGGGCTTCAGCCCAGAAGGGCAGGGCCAGGAGCCAGTCTGGTTTTTAGGAACTGGTGACACAGGAGACCCCAACCTCTCCTCAAAAACATGGGTCATGTCCTTGACCCAACCTGCCCCTGCCCCCACACCACAAATACACACCTGGGGTCTCAAAGAGATTCATTCCTTAAATCCCCCACCCCGCCAGCCAACAGACTGGGTACCAGGCAGTACAGGATAGCAAGGGCTGGCACATGGCCACCAATACAACAGCTGAGGCCCTGCACTGATGGAGCTCTGCACAGACCCTACGCCCCCGCCCCCCGCCCCATACCTGAGATGGACAGATACACAAACAGACAAGGCGGGGCCACATGGGGCCAGTTTATTGCAGTTAAATACCTCTCTCTCTCTCTCTATTTTTTGTCCATTTTTCCATAAAGAAAATTAACACACACACACACACACACACACACACACCCAAAAGGGAGCAGGGATCAGAAACAAGAGGTGTGGTGGGACATGGCCTCCCTACTTAGGTCCAGGCCCCAGGGATAGCCCCCAAAGGCTCCCATCCTTCCCATAAGCACCCTGTCTCAGTACCTCTAGAGACCAAGGAGGCAGTAGGGTATGACAGGGCATCTGTCCTCCTCCCTTTTGCCTCCAGGTGATACCAGAAGTGCTGGGGCTTCGTGGGGACCAGGAGAAGGGACACGGACAGACGGGAGAGGGAGGGTATCATTTCCACGTTGAGGAGAGTAGTGGGCGCTTATCCACAGAAATGCATTATTTCTCCCCATTTTTTGTTAAAAATCTACTATAAAAAACGCAGCTGGGGGAGGGACATCTGTCCCTCTCTGTGCTAAGGGCTGGGGAAGGGGGCAGCAGAGGCCGGGAGGAGGCCCCTGCCGCACGGTGAGGGTGGGCGTCACTGCCGGGTGCTCTCGCCCACCATCTCCAGGTTGTGCTGCTGCAGCTGGGCGCGAAGCACGGCATTCTCATTCTTCAGCTCTTCGATCTGGCAGACACGACAGGGGTCAAGGAGCCGGAGGTGGCTCCTTGCATCTTGGGGTTCTGGGTCCCCCACCCAGCTCCCACCCATGGCACTCACCTGTTGCCTCAGGAGCTCATTGTCCATCTGCAGCCGCTCGGCCTCCTTGAAGGTCTCCTGCATGCGCTGGTTGGTCTGGCGCAGCTCCCGGATGTAGTCACAGGCCTTCGACAGGATCCCTCCCTTACTCTGCAGGGTGGGCGAGAGCATTAGAGCGAGCACTGCCTGCTGGCCTCTACCTGCTGGCTCACCCCAGGACAAATGCCATGCCCAGTGGCCAGGAAGACTTTCTGGGAGAGGCTGGGGACACTCACCGCTCCCGTCTTGCTATTGTCTGCATTACAATCTGGAATGATTTTTGAAAGTTGGACGATCCAGTTGTTGATCTTGTCTCTCCGCCTCCGCTCCACTGCAGGAATAACAGCAGTAATAACGGCTAGGCTTACAGCACTTCCTGTGCGCCTAGGCGATTTACCTCCTGAGGCAGATGCCATCGGACCCCAGGCTGCTGAGGCAGTGCAGGCCCTGTCCAAAGTCATACTGCTAGCAAATGCAGGGCCAAAATCTGAACTCAGGCGACTTCCATGCCCACTTTACATTGCTTCTCAAGAGGAACAAGGAAAGTCTCACTCTCAAGTGCACACACACCTTAAAAGCAAAATCAACAGCTGGAGACTGCGGATTCATTTTGTTTGCCTGCTCAGTGTATTTTTTAAAACGTCAACATTTAAAAATTACAATATTGCCTGACTTCCATGCCCACTTTACATTGCTTCTCAAGAGGAACAAGGAAAGTCTCACTCTCAAGTGCACACACACCTTAAAAGCAAAATCAACAGCTGGAGACTGCGGATTCATTTTGTTTGCCTGCTCAGTGTATTTTTTAAAACGTCATTTAAAAATTACAATAATTGCATCTTTTGAAAAACAGAGTTGGGGCTACAGTGGGCACGTTTTCTTGGGAGGCAAGAATGGGCCAGAGTCCCTTTACATGGGACCCAAGTGTCCCACTATGGTCCCCATGGCCCATGCATTTAATTCTCCATAGCCCTCAGGTTTCCCCAGGGCTCTGGGTTTCATGATTCTGTTTTTCCTTCATTTTAAAAATCACTCTAACCTCCTATTTTCTTTCTTGTTATAATAAATGAATAAATGAATAAGTGAATGAATGAATGAATGACTCTGCCCATGTCTCACCTCTGCTTAAAACCCTTCTCTAGGACCCTGGCAGCAAAGCCCAGCACCCCAGACTGGCTTCTGTGGTTCTCAGGGGACTGGCCCATCAGGGCATTGGGTCACTCAGGAATAACATGAACCTTATCTTGTAGGCCAGGGATGGCAACAGAAGATTTCACTTGAAAAATCCCGATTTGTGATCTTATTTCATCAAATGCTACAATCTCACTCTGTCAATTGAACTGAGTGTCAGCTGTAGACAGGGCATATCTCCTCTTTGGCTCCTCACCTGGCCCACGTCCCAATCTTATGACAGCTGCCCGGGGGTCCACGTGCACTGGAGCCTGAGATCCCTGGCTTGGGGCCTATTGAAGCAAAGCTGTCCCAGCCCTTCCCTACTTTCCAACGACAGTACTAGGCACTGGTGAGTACACACAAGAAAGCTGTTACCCCTCAACTCTCGCCCACACTTTCATGCCCCTGCCAGGATGGCCCCTGGACAAGTGCAGGTGGCATTTGTAAAAGACAAGTAGACAGTTTCTCAGTATTAGGCAGTGCTGATGGGAGACAGGGGCGGAAGGGGAGAGGGTTCTAAGAGAGAGAATAGAGGGGAGGTGTGGCCCAGGAGCATGCCCTCCACTCCCTACCTCCTCTGAGGCCAGCACCACCCCTCATCCTGGAGTTCCTTCAAAGCACACCCCTGGCCACTAACAGGCAAATCCCACTGTCTTCTCTTGGCCTTGGTTTTATCCACTCATCGCTGACCAGTCCTTCTCACCACCACATGCTTCCTCACTTTGGCCTAGGTGACAACACCTTCCTATGTGGACACTACTTCTCCTTGGCCCCTCTTGTTCCCTCACGCTCCTCTTTCCACAGATACCTCCCTAATACCATGACAAGAATGGTGATCAGCACGGAACTTCGCCTGACCCTAGTCCTGGACCCCACTGCTGTCGTAGTGAGCGGAACTATCCCAACAAGGACAGCCACTTCTCAGTCTTTGGGAACTCTGTAGCCAAAAGCAGCAGCAGAGCTAAGAGCGCAGTCCAGGCTTGGTGGCACTGCCAACCACGTCCCTCAGCAACATGTTCTATTCCCAAGGTTTCAACTGAGGAACTCAACAGCAGATGGCTTCTTGGTTTCCTTCTCTACCCTCATGCAGTCCAGCATTCATGAGCTTGGGCACCAGGCTGCAGCTGTATCTCCCATGTAGTCCCCCACCAGGGGGCAGGGAAAAGGGGTATGGCATATCTCCAGTTTGCAATTACTTCTCAAAAACATATTTTGGACAAGTTGAGTTTGAGGTG